ACAGCTTCCTTGTCTGTGAAGTTAGAGAAATTGAGTAGGATCGTGAGCAGATGTTCTTGATCACCGAGGAGAAATTAATACCCTGACAACTATCATGTTTTAAGGAGTTGCACCCTCACATACTGTTGGTGGGACAGGAAGCCTCTCTGGGGGCAGTTTGGCAATGTGGATTGATTTGAAATACAGAATATGCATTCCTTTTGACCTAAAAATTGCCCTCTTTGGAATTTACCCCCAGGGCGTACTCAAACCTAAGAGTACGGGACCCATACAGGGACCCATACAGCGTTTCTCTGGTTTTGAAAGACTGGAGAGAATAACCCAATACTGTCAGCAGAGGATGGGTTCAGATGATGGTGTAAACACATCTTCACATACACTGGATTTTGTATGTGTGTTAAATGTTGATGTAGGTTTGTATTTTTGACATAGAAAGCCAACCTTGACTCGTTGGTCAGTAAAACTTCAGATTACAGAATAGTATGCATGTGGTCTGACGACTAAGTTCACAAACCCATCCTGGGGCAAGTGCTCCCTACTCCCTGCTGAGTATCACTCCCGTCACCTTCACAGGACCCACGTTAGGAGGTGTGCGCTGATGCCGGCACCTCAGCCACCTTCGAGGCAGTTTTGGAACTCTTTCTGGGATGGCCATCAAAGCTGTCCTCATATTACCCTCGATGTCCTAAATGTCATCAAAATGTCTTTCTTTTAATATTTCCTTTGTCTTCGGGGAAAGTGTCCATTCCGTCTCCCAAACCACCCTCATGGTGGTGATTCTTAAACTTTTAGGGGGTGCAGACCCTTTGAGAATTTGGAGGGGCTGAAAGCTGAGGACATTTTCCCCAAAGGAGACATGCACAGATGCCAGGTTTTAGACAGTTACGGATTTCTAGACCCGTCCATGGGCACTGGGCTTAACACTCCTACTTCAAGGTTGCACTGTCACTGGTAAAAGTTAACATTTTACCTTCATTAAGATGTTTTAGTGTGTTCTTCAAAAGCAAGCTGGTGCACCTGCTTTGAGCAGACTGGTGTAACCCCTGCTGCTCCGGCATTCTCCAGGGACCTTCAGAGTAGTAGGGGTCAAAAAAGCTTGCAGTCAAAAATGACAGTAAACTCATACTCCAGCGAAGTGACTTTCCATGTCAGTCATTTGTTACTCATGTGCCTGTGCAAATCTATGTTGTCATTTAGGACAAATATTATAAAGTCCTAAATAGGTAAATTCCCTAAAAATACTTTGTTTTTGTTTTGTTGAGACAGAGTCTCACTATGTTACCCTCAGTAGAGAGCTGTGGCATCACAGCTCACAGCAACCGCCAACTTAAGTGATACTCTTGCCTCAGCCTCCCAAGTAGCTGGGACTACAGGCACCCGCCACAATGCTCGGCTATTTTTTTGTTGCAGTTGTCGTCATTAGACAGACCGCGGCTGGATTTGAACCTGCCAGCTCCAGTGTATGTGGCTGGCACCCTAGCCACTGAGCTATAGGCACTGAGCCCTTTTTTTTTTTCTATTTGTTTTTTTGCCTAAAAATACTTTGTAAGACTGGATATGGCTGATTGAAAAATGAAAAGCTGGAGTTGAGAGAAACGGAGCAAAAATGACTAAAGGGGGAAGCAGGCCTTTAAAGAAAAGCTGAAGAATTTGCAGCTCCTTGGCCTTCACACAGGCTTGGTGCGCCCTGGGTGTTGGAGGGGAGGCGCGAAGCCAGGGAGACGTGAAGCAAGTTACCATTTGCACAAAGGCCTAAAAAAGACAAAAAGGGACAGAAATTGCTCTTCGACAAAGTTTGCACTAGAATTTCCAAATAGTAGAAATGATATGACAACGCTGAGCAAACACCCTAGGAAGTTGTGAAATCATCTCCTCCAGAGAGTTTTGAAACAGAACAGAGTGTAGTCCTTATGGCCTAAACCCAGATGGGGAAGCCGAGGCCTCTGACAGTTATCTTAAAGCCCAGGGAAAGGGCTGTGATGTGAGCTGCAGAGCCTGCACCTGCTCTCTAAACCGTCCTTGGTGTTTTCCAGGCAATAGTGAAGGAATGCCCTCCATCAGAAACAGAGGAGAAGAGCAGAATTGCTGCTGCCATCTTTTACTCCATCAGTTTGACCCAGCAGGGACTGCAGGGGGTAGAGCTGGGGACATTCCTGGTGAAGCGTGTCATCAAGGAGCTGCAGGTGAGTGCTGGGCAGGGCCACAGACAGGGCAGCCTCCGTGAACCCTGCAGGTGTCGGGTATGACAACCAGTGGCTAATCCTGCCCCTGCTTTCTGGGGAGCAGATGAAGATAGGAACTAAAGGGGTGGGGAGGAGTAGAAAAGTGCAGGTGTGTTCTGAGGATATGTGCTGGCTCCAGGGCGCCCTCCCTCTGGCTTGTCCAGGATGTGCCAGGTCTTGTGTGCTGTCCCGTGTAAGTGTCAGGGGTGCCTCATTTTGCTCTTTTTTTTTTTTTTTAATTAAATCATAAAGAGGTAGATCATGTCTACATTAATGCATTTAGGGGGTACAACGTGCTAACTTCATATACAATTTGGAATGCTTACATCGTACTGGTTAATTTATCCCTCACCTCATTTACTTAAGTTTTGTGTCAAGACACTTATACTCTATACCTAATACATCTGGCATGTACCCTTGCAATATGCACCATAGGTGTGATCCCACCATTCACCCTCCCTCCATCTAACCTCCCTCATCCCCTCCCATCCCTCCCTCCCTCCTTCATCCTGGGCCGTAGTTGTGATCTATTCCTCATATGAAAGTGTGAGTGATTGTAAATTGGTTTCATAATAATACTGATTACATTGGATACTTTTTTCTCCATTTCTTGAAATACTTTACTAAGTAGGATATGTTCCAGCTCCATCCATATAAACATAAAAGAGGTAAAGTCTCCATCTTGTTTTAAGGCTGCATAGTATTCCATGGTGTATGTATACCACAATTTATGGATCCATTCATGGGTTAGTGGGCACTTGGGCTTTTTCCATGACTTGGCTATTATGAATTGAGCTGCAGTGAACAGTCTGGTGTAGATATCTTTCTTATAAAGGATTTTTGGTCTTTTGGATATACACCTAGTAGAGGAATTACAGGATCGAACAGCAGGTCTTCCTTTAGATCCCTGAGTATTGTCCGTACTTCTTTCCAAAAGGGACATATTAGCTCTTAAATATCCAAGCTCAGACACAGCTGGTGGCCGTCCTAGCCATGCATGAGCACCACACCCGTACCCTCCATCCTCTGGCCCCACCTCCTGGCAGCTGGGCCTGTCTTCTCATGATTTCTGAGGGAGAATTGAGGTCAGACCCAGGGCTGGAAGGTGAAGGCATTGACTCCTTTTGATCACTCTCTTCCTTGCTGCTCTGTGGGAAACCTTTACTGTCCTACAGCAGAGCCCTCTGTGCTCAAAAGTGTCCCTGGGGGTTTATAAAAGCAAAGCACTTGAGAGCCTCCTTCAGTATCCGATGAGAGGAGTACAGTTAGGAGAATCCCAGGGTAGGCTTCCCTTTTCATATTACTCTGCTGTTAAGATTATATTTTTGAATTTTAAATGATAATGAGGAAATGCTCACGGTATGAATTTGTAACACACGATATAAAACTGCTTCTCATCCACATACAGATTGTGCAGAGAAAGACCAGAGGATTGTACTTGATCAGACATGAGGGGGCAGTTTGCTCAGCATAGTGGAGGACGATGGTTTTCTTTCCTTTTGTCATAAATTTTTTCTATAACGACCGTGCATTACGTTTATAATCAGAAACCCTGGGTTTTTTGAAATGATCATTGAGGTCTGTAGATAATTTGAACAGCAGTGGTTGCCCCGAGTCGTGTGATGTGTAAGAACGCCCACAGCCCTGCTCCCCCTGTAGCCCCCATGGCGTGCCTGGGCTTTCACCTGTTCATCGCCAGTCCCTGGGTGTTTGTGTGCCAAGCACCAAGGCAGGTTCTGTGGCTGCAGCAGTATCCGTGACAGGGGCCTGGTGTGGCACAAAGACAAGGGCTGGAGTCAGAATCTGGGTGCCAGGCCCCACCTCACAGCGGGCAGTTCTCTGGTTGTATGAACATCCCCAACTTAGGTCTCTATTTTGCCAACATGACAATGGTAGGGACAGAGACTCCTTGCCTTGAGGACTCAAGATGCCTCCTGGGCCTACCACACACATCAGGTTCCTAATAATCATTCCTTAAAAAGAAGAAAAATCACGTGTATCACGTGTCACTTGCCAGCCACACCACAGCGTACACAGGTTAGAGGCACGTAAACGCTAAGTGGACGGGTTTCCCGTGTCAGTAACACAGCTGCTGAATTTGTGTGTTTTCTCCTCCACCCCGTCCGTGCTTTACAGAAAGAATTTCCTCACCTGGGGACATTTTCCAGTCTGTCTCCTATACCTGGGTTCACCAAGTGGCTTCTGGGGCTTCTGCACTCACCAACCAAAGAGCTTGGGCGGAACGAACTGTTTACAGATTCAGAATGTAAAGAACTATCAGAACTCACTGGTGGCCCCATCACTGAGACTCTCAAGGGTCTTCTGGGCAGCAGTGAATGGGTGAAGTCCGAGAAGCTGGTGCGGGCGCTGCAGACCCCGCTGATGCGGCTGTGCGCCTGGTACCTGTATGGGGAGAAGCACCGGGGCTACGCTCTGAACCCTGTGGCCAACTTCCACCTGCAGAACGGGGCAGTGCTGTGGCGCATCAACTGGATGGCCGACACCAGCCTAAAGGGCCTTAGCGGCTCCTGCGGCCTGATGGTCAACTACCGCTACTACCTGCATGAGACGGGCTCCAACAGTACCGCCTACCTGGGCTCCAGGAACATCAAGGCCTCCGAGCAGGTGCTCAGCCTGGTGGCCCAGTTCCAGAAGAACAGCAAGCTCTAGGAGGAACCCTCCCCTAAAGCACATGCGTCTGGCCCAGGGCTGGGAAGATGAAAACATCACGGACAGGGCAGGTCGTGTGTCAGAGGGAGCTTTCTGAGTAAAGCCGCGGTGACCTGTCCTCTTGCCCGCAGGGTTGTGCGGTGAGGACGGGTCTTCACTTCCACTGTGCTGGGAAAGAGGCGCTGCCTGGCATGGACGGGGCTGGATGCAGGTGGACACAGACCGGCGGGTCAGTGTGCTCCCCAGAAGGGTCTGCCGAGGCCTTCGGCCTGATACCTGCCCAGGGCGGGTGCTGTGGCATCTCCAGCCTCAGGCTCTATAGTTCTCATACCAGACAGGTCAGTCGGCCTCCTGAGGACCAGGGCCAGTGGCCCAGAAGAGAGCAGATTTTACCTGGAGCTTCTAGAATGTAATTTGGTGATGATTGCTTTAGCCGTTTCTCTCCACTTAATAAAAAGGGACATAGGGCTCTGCTACACTTTACCAGTTAAACTCTGAAGTTCATAAATATATGAAAGGGTTTGTGATTCTGCACAAATATAGCACAGAAGCTGCTGCTGGAGCTGGGCTGACAGGGATTCACATTCATAATGGACTGCATAGTAAGGAACAAGTCTGTTCTGCAAAGCGGTAAACGTGTGATCATTTAACTGAGGTTGACTTTAAGATAAGAGGCTGGCAAGGCTGGAGTCAGCTCTGAGGTGTCAGCTGCGCCGTGGTCCCCAGCTGGAGCTGTGGCGATTGTGTTCTGGGAAGGGGCCAAGGGTACAGGATGAGGACAAAGATGAGGGATGGCCGTGGCTGTGGGAGGAAGGGAAGCGTGTGTCAGCACAAGTGCCTCCATGTCTGCGTGTGCAAGCGTCTGTACACACACACGTGTCTGTGGTTGCAGTGCCCTCCTGTCCTCAGGCAGACGGGTCGTCCCTTCCTTCATTTCTCATCTTTAAGACCCTGAGGGCACTAAATTCTCACCATCCCAGGTCCTTCTCTGCCATCTCCCATGTCTGACACGTGGCCTCATAACAGGGGTGTGATGGTCGTCACTGGTGGAAGCTGTCTTATGCCTCCTCCAGAGCCCTGGACCGCCTCTGAAGGCCCTGGGGATGAGGCTCAGAGGAGAGAGGGCCATGTGGCCTGGCAGGCACACCCACCCCGTCATTGTTACAGATGTCCCTGCAGCCCGACTTTGGCCCCCACCATGACACTGGCCTGAGTGAGGGTTCTGTGATCTGTCGTCCCCTTATTTGGATATTAAAATGGTTGCTGCTTTTCTGGCTTCTGTTTACAATTTCTGCCAAAAGACTAAATAATCTTTTCCCTGGTAAGGGGGTAGGGAGCAGCTCCTCTGGGTTGCACAGGTGCCCTAGGGGCCTCTCGACCCCCAATAACCAGGCAGCACCCCACTCTACAGAGAAGGGACCCCAGGCTGCCCAGTGAGCTCTGGACCCTTTGCACAGAGCCCCAGAGTCTGGGTCACTCTGAGACTCCTCTGTCCTCCTCTGTCCCTCTCCCCTGCCCCTTCCCTCTGAGGGTTTGATTTCTGAGCCCTACAGGGCAAGATCAGGAGTGACTACAGCCCTGCCCTCTCTCTCAGGTCCTGGGGGCGGGGGCTTCCTCCTTGTTCTGTATGTGGCTTCAAAGGGGGGCGGATCTCAGTGTTTCTGCAAGCATTAGCATATTCTGGGCTTTGTTAGAAATTAAATATAAGGCCTATTTAGGTTTTAAATTGAGTGAACACCTCTGATTTTTAATTGAATTTTGAGACTTTCATTGGAGTATGAAGTCTATTTTGATCTATTCTTGGAAACAAAAGCTGCCCAGTGATCTCTATCCAGCACAGAAAGTCACAGCATTATTTACAGTTTAGCAACATCAACCGAGGTGACCCCAGATCTCTTTCTCATGTTCGTTTTGTTTCCAAATTGCATTTGTAGTTCTCACCTAGCTAAATCCCTGAGGGAGGAAGGAAGGAAGGAACACTATTTGTGGAGTCTCTGCTTCAGGCCAGGGGTTCTCCACAGGCTTTCCTGGCCCTGCATTCCCCTCCTCCCCCAGATCTGTCTCTGCCCTTTTCCAGGGGCAGCCAGAGTGTTTTTCATTTGCAGATGAGGAAATGGGCTCAAAGAGGCCCACCCAGCTGGTGAGGGTGGAGCTGGGACTCAAACCCAGGCCTGACCAACACCCAGCCCCCCTTTTTCCACACCAGCCCAGATGGGGAGCAACCACACGGGAAAAGGCCCGGGGGGAGAAGCCCAGTGCTGGCAGAACAGGGCAAGTGGCTCATTTTGGCAAGCAGGAAGAGAGCAAGGTCAGGGGCGGCCTGGCTGGGACCAGAGGGCAGGAAAGTTAGGATGCAACATCTGGCAGGGGGCAGGGGTCCTAAGACGGACTTTTCCAGGGTCTTGTGTCTTGTCTGAAACCAGAGCCTGCATTGTGCTGGCCATATTTGGTCAGAACCCTCAGTTACCAGGGACAGGAGCCCAGTTCCAGCAAAAGCAGAAAGCCCAACCGAGTCCACGAGGGTTGGCCAGACCACCGGGTGTGCAGGAGTACTGGGGCTCCCTGCCTCAGCCTGGGCCTGGCCTTGGCCCAGGAGCAGGCTGCCCACAGCTCCACCACCACAGGGACCACCTCCCCAGGGTGCCTGGACTCTTACCACCCCAGAGTGAGCTGTGGCCATGGTGGGAATGAGGGCTTGTCTGGTTTGGAGATGAGGAAACAGGCTGGAAGCAGCTGAGTCTCCATTCAGGGAGGGAGAGAGCTGGGGCAGGCAGCACCCCACCCAGGAGGGGGCTTGGTTCTGAACCTCTGTGCTCTGTGCACAGGCTCCAACACCCAAGCTGTTGCTGTAAATCTCTCTGGGACACCTGGCTTGCAGGGTGGGCTCAGTAAATAGTGTTTGTCTGTTGACGAAGCGGAGTCTTCACTCCTGCATCAGCAGTCCTGATGAAAATTTCCTTCTGTCAGGGTAGCTTTGGCAGCAGGGAGGGAGCCCAGAGCTGCTTTCAAAGATGCTGGAAGCTACAGAAGAGGGAGGGATTAGACTACCGTGCTCCTGAAGTGTCTGGCCTGGCTGTTCGCATTCTATCCACATCCTCCCCTCCCTCCTCTCCTACTGGAGGTCACCCAGCAGAGCTCAGGGTACCACCTCTGGTTGCCAGCTGTCACTGAGGCCCCTAATGCAATATTCAACAAGGTGCCCTCTTGGCAATGGCCAGGCCCATGGGCCACTTATGCCCCCCAACCCCAGCTTTCTCCTCCCACTCTTGGCAGACCATCCTTCCCTTAGGACCTTTCTCTATGCACCTTTGTTCTCCACCTACATATCGATAATAAGAGTGACCATTGTCCCTGTTTGGCTGAGACAGGGCCTATCTGGGGTCCTGTAGTCATGGCATCATTGTTAACAGAGCTGCCCCTCACTTGGACAGTCACACGGTCCCCCTGCTGACACTACAGGTGCTTGACCTGTGTGTCCACCCTGGACAGCTGGGCCATAGCTAAGGTTGGACATAGATGCTCTCCCCAGCACCTGTGTTCTCAGCTGTTCCTTCCCAGCCACCCAGCTGTGTAACCCAGAAGCCTGGCTGGTGCCCCTCAGATCTCATGTGGTAATGAGCCTCTGGTCTGGGCTGCCCAGGTGCCTTTGCTGACCCTTCCAGACCTTTCTCCATCCCAGCAAGTGGAGTTGTTACTTCGAAACGTAAATTGGGTCCCCTCTCTTTTCCTCACCTCCCTCCCTCCCCCTTGTACCCAGCCACATGCACACCCACTTGTCGTGTCCACCCCTCACTGCTTTTCCTGGACCCTCCTGGGCACTGTCCTCCTCCTCTCCAGTCACACGGCCTTCTCCAGCCCCGGAACTCACCATCCTCCTTGCCTCACACATGCTCTTCCCTTCCCATCTCCCCTGGCCTGACCCCTCAGCATGGGGCCTCTGCTTGCTGGCTGCCCTCCCATTGAGGCAGCCAGGCAGCTGCATGTGTGTCTCCACTAGACTAGGAGCCCTCTGGGGGCAGGGGCTGCCGCTGGATGATTGGTTCCACCAAAGTGGCAAAGCTCCTGCCACAAGCTGGCTACAGAATGCACAGGTGACCTGGGATCCCATCCAGTCTGACGCTTGCAGAGGCCCTTGCCTTCAGACTATGCTGGTTACCCCAATGTGCTCCATGCCCAGGGCTCCATAGCCCCTGAAAGGTGGTGTCTTTATGGGCCAAGCCAGGCCCACAGCATCCTGACCCCTCAGGGGTGCTGTGCAGGAAGGGGACACGAGACCCTGAACCCCTGACACCCTCTTTCCTCCACATCCAGTTCCCTCCGGGAGCTTGTCCTGACTCATTTAGTCCCACCCAGCCAAGAAGGAGCCCAAACAAAGCCCTGAAGGGCTGGTCCCTGGCACAGCTCCCGGGACCATTCACCTGCTCCCTGGACGTCCCCTTTAAACACAAAAGGGAGACTGAAAAGGCACACTGCTACACTCACTGGGTGGCTGCCTGGAGCCAACTTAAGTCCTGGACAACTCTGCCAGGTTGTCCCCTCGAACACCTGAGATGATGCCCCGTGAATCCCGCAGGGCCTGATGCGGGGAGGGTCTCACGAGATGACCCGACCGGGTGCTGGAGTCCAACCCAATGCCCAGCATGGTAAGCTGTTAACTGACAGCAGAGACAGCTGAGCCAGAAGGGAGCGGCTGTCGCTCCGAGTGGCTCCCAGGGCTCACGGGCGCAGTGCAGCCTGCCGCCACCAGATGGCGGTGCCGCGCTCCCCAGCTGCCGCCGCGGTCCCGTCCTGGGCGCTGAGGGCGCAGTTCTCAGGGACAGACAGCCCAGCCCAGCCCAGCCCAGCCCGGCCTTAACCTTCGCTCAGAGGCTGCGCACTAGGCGTTGGGTGCCAGCAAATGGGGCTTCCCACACCTGCTGCCCTTCCTGCTTACCCAACTCCCAGGCACAGCCCTTCAGCCAGCCCCTGCTTGCCGGTCAGGTAACTTCGAGTGGGGCAGGTGGGTGGTCATTTGTAAGTCCCAGGGCATCCCCCTCTTGCTCCTCACGGGGTCTCAACTCAGGCCTGACTTTCTGGCTCTGGCAAGGAGCCCAAATCACAATTCTAAATCCCACTAAATTTAGGGGTCCTGGGCCCAAACAGCAGTCCTTTGCTGACTCCTGGTTACAGTTGTTTTATATCACTGCCATAAGTAAAAACTCAGCATTTCTTGTCATTAAATAGAAGGTGACAGTATTATTTAATAAAAGAGTATTATTAAAGCCCAGTTACATACAGTTGCTTCCTCTCTCAACAAAAGGGGGGACAAGATTAATAAATATTAGGGAATGTTCAGACTTTCTCTGTGAAGATTCAAAAAGTCCTCAGAGGACTTTTTAAAAGAGTTGGGAAAGTATTAAATGAGATTATTGCTTTGTCTAGAACAGCGTTCTCAACCTGTGGGTTGTGACCCACAGGAACTGTATTAAAAGGGTTGCGGCATTAGGAAGGTTGAGAACCACTGGTAGAAACCACCAGCCATTCCACATCTCGCACCCTGGGTGATAGGTTGAAGGATTTTGTCTCTGGACACACCAAAGGAACTCTTCCTTCAGGTTTATCTAAGGCAGTTTCCTTAGACATATTCTCAAAAGCCCAGGAGAACTCATAACTTGGCATCCTGGAAGAGGAGGGTGGCCTCCAGCATGGCCTGGTCGTAACTTGCCACAACAATGTTGGGGGACCAACAAGGTTCTGTGGGTGTCCCAGGGCTCCAGGCATACTTTATTAAGCTTTCACTTAAAATCATATTTGTAACTATCTTAACTGCTTTTGAGAGCACATGTAGTGAGAACAGGATGGGGCAGGCAGGCCAGGGTTAGGGTTAGGGTTGACCTTGTGTCTCCCATTCCTGTTAATTTGTAAATTGGGCTTTCACCTGAAGGTGAATATTTGAGTAGTATAGGGTGATTGATTTAAGAAATTAACTTTTGAATTAGAAATGTTGTCTTGGGGGGCAGTGCCTGTGGCTCAAAGGAGTAGGGCGCCGGCCCCATATACCGGAGGTGGCAGGTTCAAACCTGGCCCCAGCCAAAAACTGCAAAAAAAAAAGAAATGTTGTCTTGGGTCGTGGGTTATGTCAATTATTATTTACTATGGGTCATAGGTTATGGCAGTTACTGTTGTTTAAGATAAGTGTTAATTACTGTTGTTCAAAATAAGTAGTAGGGTTCTTGCTTTTAACTTTCATGTATATAACTGTGATATGGGAAATGGAAGAACAGAACAGTCTA